TGTATGTACATATATATATATATATATATATTTCCACATGACCATAAAGCAAGGTACAAAATAAGTTATATCCACTTTATTAAGCAGGAAACAGGCTAAAAAAGGAAAGGTACCCTGGGTGATAAACTTGGTTTGTGGCAGAAAACTGAGAAGAAAACCTGTGCAGGATATGTCTGTCTTCTGAATCCCAGACCGTGCCTTTTATCTGGTTAAAAATGCTATTCCTAGAAGGTCAGATCTTGGTCTTTACCTTTGAAAGTCCAAGACATGGCATACATCAAAGCTTGTAGTAGATGATTAAAAATATTTATTGAATTGAATTTTCATCTTGAACTTGTACAGCAGATTTCATTTCATCACAAAAATCAGAGACACTGAATCACAAAGAAGTTCACACAAAGAGTACATCAAATCAGACTGCGACATTTTTGGTAAGGAAACGTCAATCCTCTCCAGGTTTGCTTGTCATCCAAATGCTATGACATAAACATCAAAGGGATGGAAGGGCCCTGGAGAGCCCTCTTTCCTCACGCGATAAGGCAGTGACAGGGTCCTGTGCATTTCGCCCACTGTCTAGCACCCAGGTAGACTTTCCGGTTCACCGGTTTCCAGCACAGGTGACAGAAAAGAACACATAAGCTCGCTTCTTTCAATAATTGTTTTCCCAGAGATGTACAGGATCATATGAAGCAAGTGGCCAATATTCAACTGAGTGGAGATGAAAATTTCTGTAGATGAACAATAAATGAACCGTGCCTTTGTTGTAGTTTCTCTTTTCTTTTGACAACATTACACTATATCTAATACAGACCTCTGCATCCCCACTCAAATCCAGCGTGAAAACAAAATCACACAACTTGCCAAATACAAGCATGGATTTATTGACGGATTAATGGAATGCTTGATTCTAAGAATGATTTGCCTGAGAACTTGATTCTGAGTCCCTGCCATCAAAAATTTTTTAATCCATTAAGTGTAAAATGTGTTTCAAACACTTATCTTAAAAGAAAAGAGTTACTTACTGATATATCCAACTCATCACTAGTCTTCAGGTCTGCCAGTTCTCTACCAAAATGTGATATGACTTATTTTTCCTATGTTCAGGTCTCTGGCTTTTTCTTCTACAAAACAAGATGAACTTTGGAACTCAACTTTGACATTCCTTGGCCTTTGGTTTTATTGTTCATTGTTTATGAGGTTCTCTTTACCATCAACTCTGCCTGCATAAATCTTATACAGACGGTGTGGTTCCTGGAATCCAAAGCAGACAAAAATGCTAGAAAGGAGAGCGGCTATGGCATTGTGTCTATCCTTTCTCTTAACTCGTTCTCTACCTTGAACTACTGTGATTTTTGCGAACACGTTTTCTGTCCTGTTGAAATTATGAGCCTGCCTTGTTCATCCAAGAAATTCTTGACCCTAGCACAACTTAGTGGAGAGAAGAAGCCTGGATATTTTTAGGACTGTAGGACAGAGACCATTATACTCTGCTAAAAACAAACAAACAAACAAACAAATCAAAACAAGGAAAGCAAGATACAAAGAGGTTATGTTAAGTCAGTTGCCCAAGCTAGGGCCACATGGCCGTGGCAGAACCTAATTCTACCTTCACTATGTTCTTCCACCCCTCACACATGTACTTTGTGAAGGAAATTTGTGAATAAAATGATGTCCAAACTCCTGTATCTCTCACAACCCATCCTGCTGCGAGAAGGAAGGTAACAGGAAAGAGTCAGTATACAGAATGTGTCTATACCACATCTAAAGCCACAGTGAAGCCTGGAGCAAGAGCATCTGGCGACAGGTTCTTGTAATTGTTTGCTTTCATACATAGTTACTAAAAAAAAAAAAAAAATTCCAGTGAAAACGCCTTTTGGCAAATGTTAATAACAACAAATAAAGCCTCCACTGTTCCTCAGTGCTTGGTTTTTTAACCCAGTGTCTCAATCAATATTTAGAAAAACAAAGAAGCAGGCTCCACAGGCCTTGCTCTCTCGGGACTGGCTAAAGATGTTCCTGGGTGGAACAAGTTTCACGCTTGCTTCCTGATCACTGCATCAGGTTGAAACGCAGTGAGTCTTTGGGACCATTTTCAGAAGCTATTTTGAATTTTACATTTTACAGAAGAAGCTGTATTTGGGGGCAGCAATTGGTAAACTTTTTTCTCTACAGAAATGGGTAGTAAATATGTAGACGTGTGAGTCAAGGGGCCAAACTAAGGGCATAATCTGGAAATTGCACAATAAGAGACACAAGTGATCTTCCCTGTCTGACGCCGTTTGCAGAGGGCTGTCAAAGGGCAGGGGGTGGTGAGGCCGTCTGGGACTGCGGGCTAGAGAAAGGGAGGTCAGGGAGGAGGAGGCTGCCTCAGTTTCTCCTGCAGAGTCTGGCAGTCTAGGGAAGCTGGCTAAAGCAAGGCGACTCACAGAGTCAGTTCATAGTGCCCTCACGCAGGAGTGCTGCACAGCGCGCTACACATCTGCGGGGCAGTGCCAGGTGCTCAAGAAAGCAGGAAGCACGTTGGGGTTTGCACATAAGCAGCCCTCGCTTCAGAGCACAGCTGAACATGGACAGCACCTCCGTCACCCAGAAGCTGGTTCCTGACACAGCTGAGAGGAAGCTGAGACCCTCTTCCGTTCTTTACGTCTCCGACTTAAGATTTCAGATGAGCCACACAGGCATACACAGGGCAGGCGGCTGACTGCTATGTGATGGATTTTCAGAGTGAGGGCGAATGATTCCACAAGTGTGAAGATGGCCAGGTGCCCAGCTGGGAAAACCAAGTCTCAGGTCACATTTATACAACTAAACGGCAGGCCCTTGATCTTGTACAAGGAAAATGGGCTGTTTTGGCAACTTCAGCAACTCCTTTGCTGAAATGTTATCTGTTTCATTTGCTTTGAGACCCAGAGGCTTTTTCCATCCCCGCGCCCATCATCAGGACGCCCTCTTGAGCTGAAGTCTGAAACCAAGGCTTGTTTGGGTTTTATACATAGAGAATGAAAGGAACAGGAGAACATATCACAACTCCTTCGTTGTTCGTGTAGCCTTGTCTCAGAGCCTGGCGGTGTCTAACTTTCTGCCTACGGTTACCTCAAGGATCTGGGTCGATGGAAATGGAAATGAGAGGAGGACTTCAAATACCAGGTGGGAACTGCAAACCGCTGCTGCCCAGAAAACACAGGTGCCGGTGTTCCTGATGCCAGGGTCAGGAAAGAATTCACATGAAAGAAGATGACTCACGCGAAGATGGGAAGAGAGGAAAAGAGAGAGTTCTGGCAGCTACTCCAATGAGCAGGGAGAATTCAAATGTGAGTTGCTCCTGCGCTCTGGCCAGCAGCTCTTCCAGTAAGGTTTCCGTGTCCTCTGTAGGCTCGCGGGTCCCCTGGGCTCCCTGGCTTTGTCTTTCATCTTAAACTGGCCTTTCTTCTGCCACCAGAGCTTCCGTGTCCTTGGGGAGGAAAAGATTTGGGGTGGGGGCCTTAAGGACGGGTGACTTAGATTTAAGGGTTAAGAAAAGGGAAAGCTTGCGATTCTCATGTTAATCACGCTGCCTGTGACTTTCCCAGACCTGCTTTCTTCGCCTTTGTCTTCCTAATTGCTGCAATCTTGCTGCCTCTGTGTTTGTAATTGCGGGAGTCTTGCTGCCTGTGCCCTTCTATGTCTGTCTACACAGGTCAAAGTTGTGTCCTCATTTTTAATAAAGCTCAGAGTGACCTCTGCCCTACCACCAGGCCCCTGTCCCTACAGATGTAAAGAGGAATGAAGATACGCCATGTACAAGGTCCTAATAACTTTGCTGAATGTGAACATTCTAAGCCATAAACAGGAACTAAGACCAACAAATCAACAGTAATGAAAATAGGAAAAGAAGAGCTAGAGGTGGGAGAAAGAAAAACAGAAGGGACTAAAAAAGAAGAAACAAGCTGTCTCATGTACATGTACCAACTCCTTAAGAGGAGTGTAAAACACGTGTACTGCTAAAATGTACTAATAAAAATTTTAAAAAGAAGCTGAGAAGACAGATCCAGCTGCAGGTAGTGGATCCTGGGTTAAAAGATAGAATCTTAAAGGCATTTACTTGAGAGGTAATTAGCCCCAGAGGTGCTGACATGAAAGTTGAGGATAATTTGATTAGCACTGGTCATGGCAGCTGGGAACTCGGAAGTCACAGGTCAGCTCTCTTTTGCTTCCCTCTTTGCTGTGAAAGGGTCCTGCATCCTCACCCATTGACACATAACTTGGGGACCCCTGTGTGGGCAGAGCTGCTGCACCAACAACCGACTTGGTCACATCCAGCTCCGTCACATGATCTGCGTTGATGAATGAAAGCTAAGCGCTAATGACAGAAGCGGGCTGGACAAGACTCAGAAACTTTTTATGCTTGACACCAACACACACACACACACACACACACACACACATTCACACACACTTTTTCCCCATCTTGGCAATGGGAGGAGCTGTGGAACCACACTACCACTGAGCCCATGTGCTGTGAATTGATACATCAAATTCAAGTATGTTTCATCACTGAGATTTTTAAGGACATTTGTTACTACAGCAAAATTGACTAATACATAGGTGAAAATGAGAAACATAGGAAAGAAAAGCAGCTTACAACAGGGAAGTTGGTTGCAAAGCAATCAGATCCCAGATACCAGGCTGAGGATTGGGTGGCAGGCTCCAGTTTCCGTGATGGTGAGTTAAGCCTGAACATGGCGTCTCAGGCTTTATTTCTAATATGCTTGACAGTATGCCTGGAAAGGTGCGAATGTTTAAGCATGGTGAAGCATGTTTATAATCTCAGCACTCTGGGAGGCCCAGGCAGGGGGATCACAAGTTAGAGCACCATCTGGACAACTTAGGATTTAGGGAGATCTTGTCTAAAAAAAAAAAGAAAGAAAAAAAAAGTTGGGGATGTAGGTCAGTGTGAAGGCTATGGGTTCAGTCTGTTGCATTGCAAAAACCAACCAACCAACCCCCTGACAGACAAACTTCTTACCTGAGCCACAAGGCACGCACCACCAATAGTAACCTTGGCCCCAAGCTGAGTCATTCAATCATCTGTCTTTATGGAGTCCTCTGTTTATATCTTAAAGCTACACAAAGCTAAGGATGTAAGAACAAAGAAAACAGTTAAGAAGAAAGATGTAGATACAAATCCTTAACTGCTGTGTTCCCAAGTATAGTAAGGCTATAAGAAGAGAGATGGTGAGGAAGAACTACCACAGTGTTTTTACCCAGAACTCTGACCCACCAAGGATGAGAAGAAACATTTAGATGAAAGAGCCATGGGAATTTTAGGATAGTAGGAGTTAGGTAAAAAAGCCGAAAACCAAGACCAGACCAGAACCATAATATTTTTATGGGAGGATCTGCTGGGCTGTCTACAAACAAAGGAGAAAAAGCAATATGGCCAAGGCAGGGAATGCTTCTTATGGAACTGGGGTGGGGCTTATAGGAGCTGGGGTGGGATTGAGTAATGCAGTGGCTAGGGATTGGGGCAGCTTGTGACATCACTAGGAGGGGCTTGTGACATCAATAGTTGCTAGGAGGTAGGGAGTATCAGGTTACTCTTTTGGCAGGAAGAGGGGCATGTTGGGAAGAAGACTGTCTTTTTGGTAGAAGCCATATTTTAGGTGAGAAGCACGGCATTATGGGAAGGAGAAGGCTGTTTCATGTAGCAGCCATATTAGGGCGAGGGAATTCTAACAGTAAGGAGCTCCTTAAGGCCCTCTTCTAGTCAGAATTGATGTGAAAGGAGTTCTCAGAGGAAGACTCCTGGGCTACCTGCACCAGGTACAGCAGGTGTAGTATAGCAGGTTCTGGGTCCTCAGTCTTCCTGAGCAGCATGTCTGGAGCTGAGCCCTGGGAAGACAGATACCCAGCTGCTGACCCTCCAGAATACTCTGTGTGGCGGCCCAGCCGTCACAACACGAACATACCTGAGTTGGGGAGTGAGGATTGAGAAAGAAAAGAACACTCACACCTGAGTGGAGACCAAGAGAAGTCTGGTTTATTCCTACAGAAACAGCTTTCCTTGAAGGCACATTAACAGGAAGCATCAAGCAATCATCTCCATCATTTCTTATTTCTTA